TGTTTTAAATATGACACATCTAGAATATAATATTTATGATTATTTTTGTTAAACAACATATAACTTGTCCACGGAAAATTGAGAAATATATTATCAGAGATCCTCGCCTTGCTGTCACCCTCATTCATGCACACCGCTTATGCACAGGTGCTTGAGGACAGAACCTCCCCCCCCCCCCCCCGATATAGACCCCGGGGTCTTTTCGACTTTTTTCTCATAAATTATCTTTCAATGACATATTTGTGATATACTCTAAACCAACAATTCGAAAAATTACCTAAAACAAACATTTTATAAAATCTACCCCACTCTCTATATATAAATCAACAAGCTGGGATATCCACCAGTCTAAATGTCTTTGATCACACAATTAAACCTATATTACTTTATGGCACAGAAATATGGGGAATATTAATGTTAATAATTCAAAAATAAAGCAATCTGATGATGTATTGATGCAACTATGCTACATGTGTACAAAAACTTTATAGGTGAAAATTTACACATCAAATTCTGTAAAAATATATTAGGTTTGAATAGGAAAAGTATGAACCATGCTTCTCTTTCAGAACTGCGTAGATATCCTTTACATTATGATATTGTCAATAGATTACTTAAAAACTGCTACAGACTAGAAAGTTTACATCAGATTTTCCTTTATTAAAAGATGCATTCAGATGTAGTAAGGAACTTCATCTCGCCAAAAGAACAACTTGGTATTCCTCAATAGAAAAATTACTAAGAATTCTTGATATTCCAAACATTATGTCATATACTAAGAGTAAATTTGTAACTTCATTAAAACAATCCCAGATAAAAAAAATACTCTATGGATTGGCAGTACTTAAATGAAACACTAAAAGAGGGTAAACTTGTCACTTATTTATTTCTGAAGAACAATTTTAGACTAGAAAAATATCTAATTTTATTAAAACCTGAATACAGAAAGCCAATTTGTAGATTACGTGTATCAGCACACAGGCTCTTTATAGAATTAGGCAGATATAATAACACACCTAGAACAGAAAAAATATGTAAAAATTGTATGCTTAATCATATTGAAGATGAAGAACATTTCCTTATTCACTGTAGCAAATTCACAAAGGAAAGAGAAGACCTATTTAACTTAATCTCATCCAAAGTAAAACATTTTACAAAACTGCCTGATAAACAAAAATTATTCTGGATTCTAAACTGTGAGGAATTAGATATTTTGAATTCTCTCGGAAGATTCTTACAAAAAGCATTACCATAAGTCAAGTCTGAGGCATGTGAACTGTTTTATGATAAATTATGCAAAAAATGTGTACTTTAATATGTGTATGATATAAATATGTAAATTTGCATATATATGATGTATGATATTATTTGTGCAGAATTTATGTACATGTATATGTATAAAAACTATCTGGTTTATTCCTTTTTTTTTATGTCTTTCTCCTATCAATCATGCAACTCTTTCTCTCTTGTGTGTATGTATATTGTATTACATGTATATGACTATATATAAATGTTAATTTACAATGTACTTTCTTTTTGCCCCATGAGGGCCCTTAATTGGTAAATAAACTAATTGAATTGAATTGAATTGAATTGAACTGAATATCTATAGGGTAGGGTAGTAATTTTTATAAAATGTTTCTTTAAGCCAATTATAATTCAAAGTATTGTATGCACTTAAATTAAAAAAAATCTTATCTTATATTTTTTTAAGCATAAAATAAAACATAGATGACCTGACAGCAATTGCAGAGACCAGACTCAGACCATGTCTATACTAAAAACCTGACTGACCATCACATCTATACTTAAGACCTGTCTGATCATATCTACTAAAGACCTGACCGATCATATCTACTTAAGACCTGACCGACCATATATACATATAAACTAACATTGTTCAAAGACATAAATACATTAAGTAAAACAAATAGGGTAGGGTACCGACCAAATAAAATAAATAAATAAATGGAAAAAATAAGGAAAAAATAACCATTAAAGAAATCTTGATTAATGATACATGTAATATATACTATCTTTGATATTCTTAATTTTGTGCACTTTTGTAGGTAAATTACAGTCAGAAGTGCACAAAGTTAGAAATATCAAAGTTTCGTGTATCTTCTAATTAAAATAATATATATCTACGGTACCAGTATTTATTTAACCTTTCCAATATATTTATTATCTTGTTTTTTGCATGTATAACATGATTTGAAAATTATCTCAATTTGTTATGACAATCATGCATATACAGATCTAGTAATCATCGTGTTTGTATAACAAGGAGAGGATCTATTAAGTTGAAAAAAAAAAACTTGTACCCAATCCTTTTGTACGGACGGAAGCCCGTTGAGGCCAATTCAGAGAAAGAAATATTTTTTATTGCGTTTAAACGCAATAATTATTGCGTTTAATCGCAAAACATTGCGTTTAATCGCAATAATCATTGCGTTTAAACGCAAAAGATTGCATATAATCGCAATGTATATTGCGTTTAAACGCAAAACACTTTGCGTTTAATCGCAAAAGATTGCGATTAAACGCAATCTTTTGCGTTTAAACGCAATACTTTTGCGATTAAACGCAATAATTTTTGCGTTTAATCGCAATGATATTTTTGCGTTTAAGCGCAATACTTTTGCGATTAAACGCAATACTTTTGCGTTTAATCGCAATAATTTTTGCGTTCAAACGCAATAATCTTTGCGTTCAAAGGCAATGATCTTTGTGTTTAAAGGCAGTCACTTGTATCAAACCTTGCAGAGTACAATGGACCCACGCATACTTATATCTTTTATTTCTTTCTCTTTCTACTTATTAGGAAATTGTGTGTTGTCTTTATAGAATCAGATTTCTCCGAGCAAACACTCTCTGAAAGGTAAATCACTAATAAGAATTTATAGAGGAGAAAAAAAATGTTGGGTTGTAAAAACAAAGGAATCCTAAGAACGAGACATGTCTTAAGCTTATTCTCTACATTTTTAATGAAGTTTCGGTCAGTTGTTCTGCTAAAAAAAAAACCTGTCCCATACGTTGCAGTCACAAGTTTAAATCATGTATAAAGGGATTTTTGGAAAGGACTGAGGAAATGTTAGAATTACGTACAACATGATGAAGTATTTAGACTTCAATGTACATTCATAACCCTTCCTATGGTTGCATACAGTAAACACAAGAACATATGTGATGGATTTATATGAGATCAAAATCAAAATCAAATGAAAACAGATTGATCGATGTGTACTACATGCATCAAATTGACAAGTGCTATTAATACCACTGAAACTTTCTCTATAAGTTGTGATACACTTAAGCAATTGATCATAGACTTCATTAAGAGTTTTGGATTCTAATACATTTAAGACATTCAGGTTGTTAGGATGCCATTGTTTTATTACAATTTTCAAAAACTGGAAAATTTTGCAAAAAGACACAGAACAAATCGGATCTTCTTAAAGTTGAAGTGTCGGGTCCTAGTACATGTAACTATAAGCTTTGACTAATTCATGTTTGATTTTGAAACTACAGTATCATTGTCTTTAAATGCAAAACAAATCCTTATAAGGAAGGATTATTGCGTTTAAACGCAAAGATTATTGCGTTTAATCGCAAAATTATTGCGTTTAATCGCAATACTATTGCGTTTAATCGCAATACTATTGCGTTTAATCGCAAAAGTATTGCGTTTAATCGCAAAAATTATTGCGTTTAAACGCAAAAAATATTGCGTTTAAACGCAAAAATATTATTGCGTTTAAACGCAAAAAGTATTGCGTTTAATCGCAAATGTATTGCGATTAAACGCAAAAGATTGCGTTTAATCGCAATCTTTTGCGTTTAAACGCAAAGTGTTTTGCGTTTAAACGCAATATACATTGCGATTAATCGCAATCTTTTGCGTTTAAATGCAATAATTATTGCGATTAAACGCAATGTTTTGCGTTTAAACGCAATAATTATTGCGTTTAAACGCAATAAAAAATATTTCTTTCTCTGAACTGGCCTCAACGGGCTTCCTTTTGTATGTAATATACAATAAAATATGTTCAAAATCAAATCATTTCAATAATATTTAATTTGTGCTTGTAATATCATCATTTCAACCTGTTTGGGTTTTTTAAAAATCAATTTTGGATACAGCAAAGTGTATAAATATTTACAAAATTAGTTACTTTTAACGAAGGAGTACGTGTGCAAAATTATCAAATGAATTTTAAAAAAGAATGCTTCTTTAAATCAAATTTATAAACTGTATATCAAATAGTGAAATGGATAATTGTTGATCTGCTTAATTACTCTGCTTATCTATTGTCACATGTACAGTGATAGAAGTGTCAAGAGGGGCACTGGTCACCCATTGTTTGTTTAACAATTACCTACCTATATCCCTTCAAGGGAGCTTGTGTATTACTAGTGGACTATATCATTATATACTCCACTTACTGATTCAAATTCGGGTTAATCATATTTAATAAACTTAATTGTTTAAGACCCTATAAGAAGAAAAAGTCTTGTGAATATAAAGACTGAGGATAATAATCACTTTTATCCTTGTATGCAGAAATTATTTTTGAAGATAGATGTTTTATGACGAATGCATGCTGCTAATAATTAGTAATGTTAAAATTGGCATCAATAGTTATGGGAAGATGAATCCATAGTTTTCGTAGCAAAATAAATTTTAAGTGATAGAGAAATGTTTTTAATGAGTGCACTGTTATTCATATATAATTTATGAGAAAAAAGTCGAACAGGCCCGGGGTCTATATCGGTGGGGGGGGGGGGGGGTCCTGTCCTCAAGCACCTGTGCGCTTATGTAAAAAGTGTAAATCCCTATAGAGGATTTCTCTCTCTCTCTTTTTTTTCAAAAAATTATTGACATTATTGTTTCTTTTTCTTTTAATTTTTACATAAAAAAAGTTTTGGAGGACATAAATAATTTCAGATTTGAATCGGGATCGGCATTTTTGTTTTAAAATGAAAGTAGAGTTCGTCGGACAACAGATAAGTTGGTTAAAGTTTTGAGAAAAGTATATGTTTTGGGATTTAAAAAAATGCCTAAGCTACAGTTTATTTGCGGAGCATTTTGTTGAAAAAGCATGGTACTGCAGAATACATTACGAAGTATGTATTAAATGTAATTCTCTTCACACAGGCGTTGCTTCGCAAATATGTTGACAGTGCCACAGGTACTTGGGTCTTGGTTTATAAATATGTATGTACCTTATTGATATGTAAAAAAAAAGTACTTTTTTACGTATCAATAAGGTACATACATATTTATAAACCAAGACCCAAGTACCTGTGGACAGTGCCACCACTGGGGGAAGCGCGTTGTTTAAAATTATTACAGGATACTAATTTACTTTTTAACACGAAGTTTTATTTTACGTACATGTATGTCATACGGTGTGAGACATTTGAAACGGCTAAACATGGGTTTGAATAATATATGTACATATATGTTGATATGAAGAAAAGTTTTTATTTCGTTATCCTTGATCATATTGATAATTTTAAAGATTTTTTTGATTTACACAGTGTGAGAATTGAAAAAAGTAAACAATAATGTTCAAGAGATGGGAGATCTCAAAGAGTTGTGATTCTCTTTAAAGAACAATATTATACATCCCTGATTTATAGCTACTAAGAGCATTGTATCCTTACCTATTGATCTGCTTAATCACTGTGTTGCATGCATGTCCAACATACGGTTATATATTATTCTGAATGAAATGTGAAGATAAACAGTAAAGTTTGCTCAAATCACAGTCAATGGGCTGAGAATAGAACTCAGTAGTGGGTTAAAGTTTTACAACAGAGTATATAAAGAAAAAAATATTTTTAAAAGTATTCTCAAGGGTTAGGGCACATTGGTCATATTAAAATTTGCAAGTACATATACCCATACTGTGCAGATTCAAATTTTTTCATGCAAATCATGCCCCAGGCAATAAAACTGCTGTTCATTCTACCTATTACGATTTGATGATTTTTTTTTTATAAATATTTCAGAGTTACTTTCCAGTGTGACAACAGTACAGAGAATTAGTTGCTTTTCTACATCAGCTTTCCATATGAATGGTGTCAAAATATCAGTTATCCCACATGACGCTTTAGTAGATGAGCATGTTCACATCAAGGTGGATGGTTTACCTAAGAACGAACCTGTCACCATTAAGGCCTCGCTACAAGAGGGCAACAATAGATTTGCATCATATGGGTGTTATACAGCAACAGAACAGGGCCATGTTACAGTGGAGGAACAAACGTCAGTACAAGGAACATATACAGGTCTGTGTCACAATACATAATTAGGCGAATTTGCGTATGTAAAAACCTTGTTAACACAGAGCACAAAATAAGCATGATAAGAGTCATCAAAGCTCTTTCACATAAATTTTACATATCAAAAGCAGATAAGTAAAATTTGTGCAAAATTTTTAATGCAAGTTTCATATAAATGTTGTCAGGTGAATTTGATGTGAAACTCTTCACACAAAATTTATTTGTGGCACATTTTGCTGTGTTTGTAAAATTTTTGCAAGGTGAGTCCTGGGGACATAGTTATTAAAGAAATAAGAATCTATGCAAAGTTGATAGAACTTCATTTTCATGACATAAAACACAGGTTTGGAGCCAATGGGGTTATTTTGGAGCATGAAGCCTGAACCCTCTATGAAACAGAATATTAGACTTCTTAAAAAGGATGTGACCTCTCCCATTGTCGTAACATTGTCAGTTATTGAAGGTCACCACTCCTGGGAAACTTTGTTTGATCCACCCCCAAATCCTCTAGCTACATTAGATGTATATAGATGGTACAAAGACAAGAATGTTAGAAGAGAGAGAGTTAGTGAGGGCAACATCAGAGGTGCACTCTTTATCCCCCCTGGTAAGTTTCAGTACATATCAGTATCATGTTTACAGAGATTTTCAATATCTGACTGTCTGTGATTAGACAATAAAAAAGTTAAATTTATAATCTTTGTGAACAATGCTTTGTACATTTCTTCTCCTTTTAACAATATCAGTATTTGACTTAAATGAAATTGATTTTGAATTTTATGGATAAAAGAGATATTTTCCTCTCTAGGACCAGGACCATTTCCTGGGGTAATTGACATGTTTGGTAGTGGAGGGGGACTCTTTGATCACCGTGCAGCATTGTTAGCCTCCAGAGGGTACTATGTCTTTGCTCTGCCTTTTTTTGCGTATGAAGATTTACCAGAAACTATGCCAGATGTTTCATTGGACTATCTTATTGTAAGCATTCACTGGACTATCTCATTATAAACATTAACTGGACTATCTCATTAAAAGTATTTACTGGAGTATCTCATTGTAAGCATTCATTGGACTATCTCATTGTAAGTATTCACTGGACTATCTCATTGTAAGCATTCATTGGACTATCTCTTTGTAAACATTCATTGGACTATCTCTTTGTAAGCACTCATTGGACTATCTCTTTGTAAGCATTCATTGGACTATCTCATTGTAAGCATTCATTGGACTATCTCATTGTAAGCATTCATTGGACTATCTCTTTGTAAGCATTCATTGGACTATCTCTTTGTAAGCATTCATTGGACTATCTCATTGTAAGCATTCATTGGACTGTCTCTTTGTAAGCATTCATTGGACTATCTCTTTGTAAGCATTCATTGGACTATCTCATTGTAAGCATTCATTGGACTATCTCTTTGTAAGCATTCATTGGACTATCTCATTGTAAGCATTCTAATTTCTCATTAAAACAGCAAGATAAAGGAAACTTATTCAGTCAAACTTTACTATCTTGAACTTAATTGGGCCAAGGAAACTTTTGAGGATTTAAAATATTGTTGCTAAAATGTATTAAGAAAAATGGTAGGGGATTCCAGTATATCTTGACATATTGATATTGATGTTTGAGATATCGAAGTTCAACTGTATTTATTTTGTGTACATTGAAGTTAAATTCCATGTCTGATAAAATTTTGTTACTTAAATGTAACATATTTTCCTGAATGTATAGATTTATTACATACATGCATACAAGTCAGTCAATTTTGTTTAAAAATTTTGTGTCTTAAAGGAGAGTGTGGAATGGTTTGCTGGACTACCACAAGTGAGGCATGATGGGATTGGTATAATAGGACTTTCTAAGGGAGGCATGTATGCCATGGAGCTCTGTAGACATGTGCCACAGGTAAGTTATTCGTTGGTAAATTTAAGGATGTCTAGTTTACTTTTTTATTCCCTACAAAGAAGTGAGGTCGTCTGTGTGGTGCAGTGGTTAGAGCATTTGCTTTAGAGTTGTGGAGTAATGAGTTGATCCTTACGTCGCGGGTTTGAATCCTTCTGTCGGACATGGAGACCGATCCTTCAGATGAGACCATATAAACTCAGGTCTTGTGCCGCAGTAGATGCTGGCATGAAAAAGAACCCTCACTGCTAAATGACCCTGAGTGCCGAGTATAGGTCAAAATTTGCAGCCCTACACCGGCAAGTGGTGGTGTCTCCATAAGAGTGAAAAATTCTTGAGAGGGATGTTAAACAACAAACAAACAAAAATCAAAGAAATAGTAATTTACTATGAACCATTCAGTCACATGATCATTTGGATATTAAAGCTGTACTTTCCACCCAATTTTTAGCTCACCTCGACGAAGTCGAGATGAGCTTATGCTATACCCCCGGCGTCGGCGTTAGCTTCGACGTCCCGGTTTAAGTTTTAGGAGCAAGTCCATTCCCAAGTAACTATAAGCCCTACCTGGACCAAACTTACATGGATGATGCATCTAGGGATGTACACTTCCACACTTGCTTCGGATGCTGGATCTCACCTAGATTTTCCAGTTGAGTGACTAGGTTAAAGTTTTTGGAGCAGGTCCATTCCTAAGTAACTATAAACCCTACCTTGACCAAACTTGCATGGATGATGCATCTAGGGATGGACACTACCACACTTGCTTCGGATGCTGGATCTGACCTAGATTTTACAGATGAGTGACCAGGTTAAAGTTTTTGGAGCAGGTCCATTCCCAAGTAACTATAAGCCCTACCTGGACCAAACTTGCATGGATGACAGTTCTAGGGATGGACACTACCACACTTGCTTTGGATGCTGGATCTGACCTAGATTTTACAGATGAGTGACCAGGTTAAAGTTTTTGGAGCAGGTCCATACCCAAGTAACTACTGGCCCTACCTGGACCAAACTTGCATGGATAATGCATCTAGGGATGGACACTACCACACTTGCTTCAGATGCTGGATCTGACCTAGATTTTCCAGATGAGTGACCAGGTTAAAGTTTTTGGAGCAGGTCCATACCCAAGTAACTATTGGCCCTACCTGGACCAAACTTGCATGGATAATACATCTAGGGATGGACACTACCACACTTCCTTTGGATGCTGGATTTGACCTAGATTTTCCACATGAGTGAATTTTAGCCATATTTTAACCAAATTAGCATGGATGATGTAGCTAGGCTTGGTCACTTCCAGACTTGCATTGGATTCTGAATCTGACCTACATTTTCTAGTTCAGTGACCAGGATAATTTTTTTGGAGTAGCTATATAACATTATGGTCTGTTATGATTAAACTTGCATAGATGGTGCATCTAAGGATGAAAACTTCCAGACTTACTTTGGATGTTGGAACTGACCAAAATTTTCTTGATTAATAAACAGGATAAACTTTTTTTTGAACAGGTCTATTTCCAAGTAACTATAAGTCGTACTTAAACCAAACTTGCATGGACATTGATCTTTGATGTAAACTAAATAAAAAAAATGATGTAAAATTTGCCTTACTTAAAGATAACATTCATCGAGGTGAGCTTCGTAATCCTTGATTACCTATGTTTTTGAGAATTGTTTGCTAAATTGTAATCAAACTAAATAAATTTTATACCATACATGTAAAGTGGATATTTACATGTACATGTGGAGGCTATAGACCAAGATTTTGAAAGACAAAAACTACACTTGGGTGTAAGACACACAGTCCTGTACTTCACAAGATGATGAATGCAGAGCTTGGATATTTTTGTGAATACTATATGGGGGAGGGGGTTCATCAAGATTACTTTGTAATTGTTGTAAACTCTCCCCACTTGGAAAAAAAAACACTTTAAATAGTTTCAAATCAATATACGGAGGTATTTTGCTAATTCTAGTAGTAACAATACTACCTAGAGCATCAGATCAGTCATTTTCTCCCATACTGGTATTACTTTTATGCCATTATCATTCCCTCAACACAATTTACATGTATATTTGGGTACATTGCCATCAAATTTGAAGATCAGACTATGGGGGGGGGGGGGGGGGAGGGGGTACATGGTCATAACACTTCAGACAAATTTGTAGTGAAATTTTTTAATACTCCGCTCTAGCAAAGGTGTATTAAAAATTGGGGGTGAGGTTCTGTTCTATGAGTATCTGAATTACACAAATGGAAGCAAGCAAAGGGTTCATCTGAAATCTATTTTTCATATCTTGAACTGTGAGGATGTAATTCTATATATGATATTCACATGATATTTGGAATTATATCTATTTCAAATGTTTATTACCTTGAAACAAATCTTGTAAAGGTCTTCAGTTGGATAAATTTTTTACACGGTTACTTTGTGACATATAATAGTCATAGTCGTATTTGCATATACATTTACATATGTGCACCATACCTGTATGTAATCCTTTTTTATCAATTTTGGTCATTCTTTTCTTCAGATCAAAGCTGTAGTTCTGGTAAATGGAGTAACATTTTATTCTGATGCTCCTCTCAAGTACAGCAAAGGAGACATACAAAACTTAGAGTAAGTCAAAAACAATTTATAAGAGAAGCAAATTACATATATGAGACCAATACCACAATTTATACTGTAATTTCAAATTCCAACCCCAGCCCCCTTTTTCATGGTAAGCAAAGGGCAAATTAAAAGCTGTTTTCACACTACCTGGAAGGAGTACCTTTAAACACTTAAAGAAATCACAGAAAAGCAGTATGTTGCTAGTGGAAAAAAGGGTTTTTTTTTCTCTCAGAAAGCAGTGTTGATTTGCAGAAAAATGGAACAGTGATGATAACATACCTGACAATGTCACTTAAAAGTATCTTATATCTCTGACAAACTATTTTCTTTTGACAGACCATATTATGGTATGGGTTTTTACATTTGTCCATCTGTCTGTCTGTTCATCTGTTATTTTTTATTGTGTCCATGTGATATATTTCACATCGTGAGACAATCAAAAATTGTCAGTGAATGTCCCTTGAGAGGGGGGTTTAGGTGTGTCATAATCCAAAAGAAGGTCACTTTGACCTTGATTTGAAATTTACGGCTGTATAGTCAAATTGCACTCTGACAGGCATACCATGTATTCCAGCAGTGCATTTTATTTACATTTATTTTCAAATCATAAAGAGAAACTATCTTTAATATGACTTTAATGAATTTTCAGAAATGCTTGATCATTTTTGTGAACATTTGATAATGTTATTGTTCATTTGTTTGTTTCCTTGCAGATTTCAGTTTGATCAAATGAAGGCCACACCAGAAGGAATTGACATTTCAAATTGTTATCATCCCACAGATGAATTCTTCATCAAAGTAAGTCATTGCACTTAACACCTCAGGAAAGTTATTATATTTATATAATAGTGTTGTGCTTTGCATGCATTATGCCTAAATAGTAGTCAGGGTTTGACACATGGTGCATGCAAAGCACAACACTATTGTTATTATTATGCTGACTGTTGTATAAAAACGACAATATTTTCTCCATTTTCAATGTTTCATTACCTCTTATGTTCACTACTTCCTATTATGATGTCACGTTGTGTACATGTACGTCATAATCTTTTTTTCTTAATTTTGAGGGTTCATGCAATAAGGTATAATGTACAGAGAGTTTCATGCAATTTTAGTTGAGTGAAGGTAAAAATGTTGCAAGAAACTATTTAAGAAAATTGTTTATTTTTTTTCTTTAAGTATCAAATATTTGAAACTAAGTTTATATATATTAAAATACAAATTGGTAGCACGTCGGACTGACAATCTCGGGGTCGTGAGTTCAATCCCCGGTGTGGTCGCTGTCGGATTTTCTTCAGAAAAAGAAGTCGTGCACTATTTCGGCATAGTATGCTTACGCTATATAAATCCTTAGAACACTATGCAAAAATAGTTGGGTATTGATTATATAGAGACAAACTGACAGGAAGCATAATAATACATATGTACATTATATTATCCTTTGAAATTTATTCTAAATTTATTTTAATGTGATCATTAATGCTACTGCATTTAGACATTCTTTCATGTTTCCTTCGTATTGTTTAGTAAATATTCTTGAAAACTAAATTTTGTGAAATTGTTTTTGTCTTAAAGGTAATATTGTTTGAAGTTAATTTTTCTATGCATGGACAGACAGGCAATGCAACTCCTAAATACACAAGTGTACTGTAAATGTACCTATTTTAGCGGAAATAATAATATTTTAGCACCTCTCATGCTACTACCTGTCTGCTAATTTAAATACACACCAATATATGATTAAAAAAGTTTATTTAAAAACCTTGGCTCCAAATGCCCTAATTTATAATCCACTAAATCAATTGATGAAGATTGTGCTAAATTTTTATGGTGCTAAATGTATGTTTACAGTATTTCTTCCAAACATCTGTTTATTTCAATGTAAGGAGGTCAATATTGACTACAAAAACTGTCTATTCACATCATTTGCTGAATAAAATATCGTTTATATTTACTAAGTAGAATGCATGCTCAATATAACTATGTCTAAAAAGAAGAGTTGAATGGGTTTTTCCCCTATCCACTTCTTGCGCCCTTAGAGCATACAGTGACATTTCACAAATACTGGTGGAAGTAAATGAATTTATTAAGAACAAATTAAATTGGTATCTTAAATTCAAGCAGAATAAAAACATCCAAATTTGGCAATAAGAGATGCACCATACAGAGATTTTTCATTGTTCTGTAGGGATGGGAGAGTGAAGCTGCATTTTTGTTTATTGTGGGAGATGACGATGGATGTCTGAAGTACTCCACAGTTGAACATTTTATGGAATTGGTGCCAACGGAACATAAACATCGGTTCCAGGTTATAAGGTACCCCGAAACTGGGCACCTTATTGAGCCACCATATTCACCTCACTGCAGGCACTCCTACCATAAAGTATTCCGTAAGTCCCTAACAAAACAGATTGTAGAATATAAACATAAAGGAGCATTTTACAGGAAGAATTTCCTTCAGATTCGAATTTGAAGTGGATTTTTTCCTAGAAATTTTTAAGTTTGATTCTTAACTTTTATATTTTTATGTGGTAAAAATTTGCAGTTTCTGTGTTACAAAGAGTTTATAGGATAGGGGTTATTTTTGGCGGAAGTTAAAAGAATTTGCAAACTCACAGATTAAATGCACCGATGTACTTTCATAGTTATTAATAGTCAGGTAGACTTGTAAATAATGGATGGATAAAAATGAGACAAAAGTACCTTACATTTGTACATTATCCATTATTATACAAAGACCAAAAGAAGCTTTTAATGGTCAGAGTGTGTATTCTGTGAGTACAATGTGCTGTTTTGTATTTGAAAGCACTTGTTATGTACCAGGATGGTGATGATTTAGATAACACTGGCATTACTTCTAGATTAAATATTTTGTTGACACCTATCACCCTGTATTTCGTTTTTTGAGTTTAAATTTAATTTGCGTATTTTATTATTATTTAACATTCCTTACATCCTTTACAGGGTTGTATTACTAGCATACTCAGGTGACTGTTAAGGCTCTTGGGTCTCTCTTTTTTTTAATGATATGTATTTTTGAACAAATAATTAATGTTTGCCATACTTTGTTGATAATTCTTTTTTCAGAATTTGAATTTCTATGGGGAGGAGAAACAAAAGCTCACAGCTACGCTCAGGAAGATTCCTGGGGGAGGATCCTGGAATTCTTCTCCAACCAACTCTGATCTAATAAACAGAAATGTCTGACAACCACCTAAACACAATCAGTAAATTATAACAAACAATGTGCAATGCACATGGTTGTGATACTTAAGAATGAGAATTATTTAAAGTATTATATAGGAGATTTTATTGAAATGGTTTTAAGTTTACACTAGTGATATTACAGGGAGATTTAAATAAAATATTATTTCTTGTTGGATGGAATTCATCATTACAACAAAGGATTAATTATGCATGTATTCATGCACTTGTTTTTTATGATGTGCCATATACTGTGATTTAAATAAAGATCTAGGAATTGAATTTGTGAGATATTTCGCCGTAAGGTTTGTTGTGATGTCGTGATAAAATATTAGACTCTGAAAAATTCAGATACCAAAACAGTATTTTTGAATTATTCTTTGAAAATTTATCCAAAATCTAACTAGAGTAATTTTATTTATTTTACTTTTTTTCATGAGAAAAATGAATTTTATTAACAAAATTTTCTTACGAAGTTTGTTAGCTAATGTGGATGAATTCTATTTGTATACTTACGAAATTTTTAAAATTATTATTAATAAATGGTACAGCCAAACTTCGTTATCTCGAAATTGATGGAACCATGAAAACTTTACAGTGAAAAATGGTGTTTAGGACTTCCAAATTACTTTGACATATCCGTGTTATTTGAGATGTTGAAGTTCAAGATATAGAAGTTCAACTGTTTATACATGTACTTAAACACATGTAGGAACCATACTTTCATGTAGGAGTGTAACAAAATGTGGGTATATCATGATGCGTTTGGCTTGAATTCGATTACTTGTATGGCAGTCCAGAAAATTTTATCTCTTAATTTATAAGCAATTTTATTTTTGGAAAAGATTAACTAAATGATGTGAATTCTAATTCAAAATCCATACCCAAAAACAGAAGATTTTTGTTTAATTGATACTCGAAACCCTAGAAGCTATTCATGTGTTTGTAGGTTGAAGAGTACTTTCATCCTGATGATATTACAGTGCTGTTAGAATTTTTCAAAAGAACATTTTTTAGGGAGCAAAATGAAAAAATGATACATATCATGATACACGAGTCGACATACCAATATATCATGATACGTTTTTATGTATTGATACTCGTTCCTACTTTCATGACGTAGTTGTTCTACTGGTTGTAGATACATTTATTTATTAGTAAAGTCTATCATTCAGGTTAACTTTGTTCAGGTGAAGAGCCACACCTTCTTTGAAGGGGGGATTATTAAGTGAAGATTTACTTAAATTTAATGTATTTTTTATATATGACCAAATTAGCCAAATCCTAGGGCTCAACCTAGAGGAGCCATTAATTACAAAATTTTGGAGGAATGAAATAATAAAAAAGTTGTTTGCAAATTGTCAATAAGTAGTGAAGAAAAAAAAATTAATAGCTTCTCCACAGCCCTGAGTGTGGATTCGAAGTTCATTGTTTGTAAGTACAAAGATGTTACATGCTTGAGTTATTGACAATATTGTGTCGTTTACAAAGATGCAAAGGAAATTGAGAATAAAGAAAAATGAGAAATGTTTATGTCCTCTAGAAATATTGACAAAATTATTTTCATAGTCAAAATTTATTAGAAAAAAATAAGCAATAAATAAAAGATTAATTGATTAGTTATTGTTTAATATCATGCCGGCAGTATTTCAGCCGTATATGGGTGAAATAAATGAAAGAAAGAAGTTTTGTGTAAAGTGTTCTATGCTGCATGAAGTATTTATATGCGTAAACGTATCCTAAGATTGTGAATGCATTGATGTGTGCACTTTTATTGATTGTAATGGTTAACTGATATTTTTCCTTTTTCTTACCAAATGTTTTAGCCTAGAGAGAATTAAGGAATCGAATTGACAAAAATGTTATTCACAGTTCATTAAATATATTATTCTGTTCTATAGAAGATCATTCACATGTCTCTAAAAATTCACAAAGGAGTGAATATATACATGCATCTTTCTTGATTATATTTTTAATAATGAAAAACAAAATTAGTTAACATACAAACACCTTCATCGCCTTCTTTGCCATAAAATATTTACGCCTTTTAATTAATATAACAATTAATGACTCAAAATATAAATAGATCCGGAATTCCGCTTCTCCGTTCTGATAGTCCCAATTAGTAGATAAAATTGAACACGAAAACATATGTATACAGGAACCCCCCCCCCCCCCAAACATTTTCTCTCTTTATGGAATCGATGCTTTTCTCATTAATAATTGATACTGTTTGTTGCAGTGTATTTTTTAAAATGATATTTTTTTTTTAATCTTTTTATCATGGTTTCTGTCAATTAAAATCAGCTTATTGAATACTTCTCTATAGTTTCACCGAGAAGGTTGCAACATTTAAAAAATAATTAGCAAACATTTTTTAAATAAAATATTTAAACGAATTATCAACCAAAAATGTATCCATTGGTTATACTGGTAGACTTTTGAAATATTTTTTAAAGCGTCAGCTTTTATTGAATTTTATTCATTGAAAAGAGTATTTTATTCTCCCACCCCTTGGGTTTTTTTTGGTGAAAATTCGAGAGGCAATTCACAAGTCCCCCTTGTACAAAAGAACTCAAGACTAAGAACAAGAATTTTGGCTTTTTCTGACATCTTGCCTACCTAGTATTTTTTAATTAAAATTATACTGTATAAACAAGTTTCTTAATTGTTAAAAAATAAGTAAAAAAAAATTATTCGCTACATTATATTTTGATCTCAGTCGTGAGTTCTTTTTTAAAACGGGACCCAGGTTATCTCCGTCTTTGTATCTGTTTTTTTTCTTTGGATTTTTTTTTTAAATCCGATCTTGTAGAGTAGGCTATCCCCACCCCAGAAAACCTCTTTTCTATGTAACCGTTCAACCAATTCTTTTGAAGCATTAAAATCTTATTTTTTTTTATCAGGTCAAAATTTAAATGGTTAAAAAATAAAAAAAAAAAAAAAAAAAAAAAAAAACAGATAAAAGAAATTTATTTTTAATGAATTTTTTTTAAAAATTTGTATATCAAACTTCATGTACATAATATTGAAGTGCAAGATTCTGGTGTTTAAAGATCCAAAATTGCTGCAGTTGCAATGCATGGAACTTAAATTGGTCATTTATATAAAAAAAGTTTAAATTTTGCAAAAGAGAGTATTTGCTCTCTAAAACTGTTCAGTCTTAAATAAACGTGTTTATGTCTATATTTAAATATCATTTATCTTTCAAATAAAGACACTTCTACTTTTCAATAAAAGTTTTAAAGAATTTTAACGTTTCTGAGGGCTACTCCAAAATACAGTGGAAGAGTGTTATTCCTAAGCAAATGTACATCAAATTAAACCTACAAAATAATTAAAAATTAATTAGTTTAAAGAAGTTAATAGGATTACACGGGTTCTCAGGATAACCATGAATTCAAATTTGATAAAATAAGCCACGCCTCCGTACTGTTCCGTCTTTAACAGTGTTCTTTGAGTATCGATGATAATTACACCAAAAGGAGATTAACTTCCATTTAACTTCTTGTGTCTGGTTTAAATTGATAATTCCATTTTCGAAAGGATCGAAATAAAAGCGACATGTTCTCAGTTTTCTCCCACAACTTTATAAAATCGACATTTTTTGTATTTTTATCATACATTATCCCTGTGTCCCTGATCACAGAAACACATTTCTTCAATTAAAGGTATATTGGATATGGACAATAAAATCAGCTATGTTGGGTTTCTTAGACATCTCCATGCTGATTCTAGATCCATATGCGTGAGAGAGTTTTCAGGCAACTGCAAGTGTTTCGGATACAACATGAAAGACAACCGGTGTCGACTGCATTACCAAATCTATTGCCTTGACAATTTTCCTACAAAATCCGAAGAAGGATGGCAATATTTTTGTGAAAGTGGTAAGGAATGTATTCTCTGATAATCAATTCTCTGTACTAATTCTCTGAAATCAATTTAGCAATACAGATCTGATCAATAAGACTTTCTGTTTATACCTTAATTTGAAATATACCTAACTTTACAAATATTTCAACCTTCTTACTCATATATCCTGAAAAAAATTTAAGAAACGCGACCTATTCCATTGGAATGTAATATCTTTACTACCAAATATGTGTAATAAATACCCCTCCCCTTTCCCTGGATGTGTTGGCAAACTAATCTGTTCTACATGGAGCAAGTTTGGATGCTTTGTGACAAATAAATCACTTGAAGTTATCTAACTATTTTCATTGACATTTTAAATATGTAAAGTACTTAATTCACATTCTCTTTGCTGCATTATGCTCAATAAAGAAGGGAACTATGATCAGATGCATGGTTTAAACTATTCATTAAATGATTCTAAGATGTAAATGTGCATACTTTTAAATAAGGATATGCATATCTATATGAATTTTTTAAATCATCGAACCACTAGGTTGTTGTGGTGGAGCATCAATTATTCACTACTTGGATGGATACGTTCCATTGGAACCAAATTTCAGTATCGTGAATACAACAGAGAGTTATGTCGGGGAATCAGTCAACTATACTTGTGCACCAAGAACACTAAGTATAGGTCGGAATCAGATATCGTGTTTAGAGACCGAAAAATGGGAAACCGCAATGTGTGAAGGTATATATTTACCTTTGATTTTGTCATATGTATTGCAATTGAATTAAATTTTAAAATTAAAAATTTAAAAATAGGAATAGGTACTTAGTATTATTTTAAATTTAGAGTGTACAGGAGCGGATGATCCAAAACAAATCAAATATAGAGGCAAGAGGAACGTAACTATGACAGGGAAAACGTGTCAGCGATGGGACGCCAAAAGTCCCCATATTCCTTTTCTTTTATATCTTTCCTGGTAATGATGTGAGTAGTTCTTTGGTAATAATGTGAGTAGTTTTTTGCATGTGTTTGGCAATATATTAATTTGATTTTTTTAAACGTCCACTCTTTGAATATATCATTATTCAATAAAATGAAGACGTACTAAATTTTTACAATAAGTTAGTGACCATGGTGAGATGGCTGAAAATTACAAATCTTTTTAGGGATCGAAATTTAACTTGGGACATGGCCGCACCTGTTTAAGATTTTGTGAAAGATAAGAAAATACATTGTTAATTAAGATTATTGATGGTGTGGAGCAAATTTGATCTTACATTTCAATAAATAAAAATAAATAACTAGATCAAACTCGTAATTAATTCAATGATTAATCGATAGATATTTTTCATCATAGGAGAACTTCTGTTGGAACCCTAGTAACCATTACGGTCTGTGGTGTTACACGACTGATCCT